CAAAGGTTGACCCCCACCCTGGAACACACACTCCAGTCACATTCTGTTGGGTGGCGGCATCAGCGATTTTCTTCAACAGGGCCGTGAGAGAAAAAAAAAAAAAAAAAAAAAGGTTTTTTGAAAACCGCTGAGCTAGCGCAGAACTATGGGAAAGACATCCAGGCTTGTGTGCTGGGGGAATCCACCACTAGTGGTTCTAATGGCAAATGACCTCTCCCCATTACAAATCTGCTCATTTATTGCAAGCTAGTGGTGGTCTTTTGGTCTGTGTTTGTACAGCACCTCGCACGGTGGGGATCCCGGGCCGCAACTGGGGCGCCCAGGCGCTGCAGCGAAAACAGCAACATGGTACAAGTGACACCTCCACAGCTGACAATGCAACAGCCAGACTCAATGCTCCCTTGGCCAGAACAGTGTACAAGTTTTTTGGGGGGTGTGTGTGTGGGGGGGTAGTCTTCCCATCCATCATATTCTAGACCAGGGCTACTCAACACACAACCCGTGGTGCAATGTGGGTTCACGGTGTGGTTTGGGTTGATGTGCATTTTAGTAATTAAATTCGTGGACGGTTGTGAAGCCAAAACAAAACAAAACAAAACAAAAAACTAATCAATATAATGGTCTTCGGTTGATGTGCGTTTTAGTAGTTACATTCTTGGATTGTCATTGCTCATTAAAAGTGCTGTCATATGGCTGGAAATCGGGTCAATAAGGCATTTTATTAATATCAGCAACACTGACTTAAATGGGGCCTGTGTGTTGTGTAGTCTTGCCTTAATCTTTGTATTCGTGCCCATTAGTGTGAAAGGAGCTATTTGCATATATTTGCATGTCTATGCAACCACACTTAAGTTGCGGCCCTCGGCATGTGCTGTGAGTATCATTGTGGCCCCCGGGGCTTCCAAAGAGGAGTAGCCCTGCTCTAGCCGACGCTGCAGCCTCTCCGGGAGCTGCCAAAGCCCTCTTAGGTAATCTCTCGGACTCCGCTCTCCAGCGTATGGAGGTGCGGAGTATTAGTCAACGTGATCCCTGTATTAAAAATTGGGGGACACGGAGGTACAGCTTGCCCATGCTCAGGCAGGGAGGAAGCCCAGTTCTCTCAACTCCCAGTCCTGTATTTTCACCGCGAGGTCCCGCTTCCTCCCTGGAGGAAAGGCTCCCCCGGCATTATTGGGATCAGAATGGCACAGTGGAATTCGCATCACTGAAAAGGCAAGCGCGTGAACACAGCCACCACCCCACAAGGCTCGCTAGATGCGTTCTTCCTTGAAAGCACTTTTGGTCTTAATTCAGCTCACCCAAGTTGCCTTGTCTGGACCCTTTCTGACTTCTGTCATCCCTGCTTTACACATGGGGAAACTGAGGCACAGGGCTTGGCCATGCCTCGCTCCAGATCATACCGCAAGTCAAAGGACTGGGAGTAAAAACCAGGTCACGCCGCTCCCAACCTGGTCCCCTTTCCACTAGGCCATGCTGCCTCACTGATCATAACGGGCTAGCCCAGAGCTACCTACGGAATTTGGTCCACGGAAGAAATTATGGCAGAGAGGAACTTGTCTGTC